TGGATGGATGAGTGGATGGATGGATGGGCGGATGGATGAGTGGAAGAGTGGATGAGTGGATGGGTGGATGGATGGATGGAAGAGTGGATGGATGATGGGTGGATGGATGATGAATGATGGATGGATGATGGGTGGTGTGTGGATGATAGATGGATGGGTGGATGGATGGATGGGTGGATGGATGGATAGGTGGGTGGATGGATGGATGGATGGATGGGTGGATGAATGAATGCATGAATGAACAAATGAGTAATCTCCCACATGCAGGACAAAGGAGAATGTAGGCTTCTGCAGATTCCCAAGATGCACTTTCCATCACCGATGGTCCAGCCTGGTTGGAGAAGGGGGAGAGTGGAGGAGGAGGGGGCCCCACTCACCCTCGCCCATCAGGAAAGCCAGCTAGATCTCAGAGAGACCTTTTTTTAATCTCCAGAGCTGAAACCAAAAGGGAGAAGGGATTAACTTGGGAGATGCCGACCAAGCCTACACTGGCCTTGTCTCCCGGAGGATCTTAGTGAAGTGGAAGAGAAGGGGTCCTAGAGCACAGGGCCCTAAGGAACCAGCCTATCACCATAAAAAGGGACGCAGCACTGGCACGTGCCACAATGTGGATGAACCTTGAAGACTTTTACTGAGTGGAATAAACAAGATGCAAAAACCACTAAGTGTGTGATTCCATTTCTATGAAACGTCCAGAACAGGTAAACCCACGGAGACAGACGGTAGATCTGTGGTCACCAGGGGCTGGAAAGGGGGATGTGGAGTGACTGCTCATGGGTACCAGGTTTCTTTCGGGGGTGACTAGAATGTTCCCTAGGGAGACGGTGGTGATGGCTGCACAACTCTTCAAATATATTAAAACCACCGTACGCTTGAAAGTGAACTGTTTGGTATGTGAATTATATCTCAGTAGCCCTGCTGAGAAAAAAGAAGAACTAGCCTAGTAGAGCTGGAGCGAAGGGTGAGCACGGGCACGGAGCAGAGGTATCACCCCGTCCCCCACCACCACTCCATGGTACAACTGGGGAAACCGAGGCCCAGTTGTCTCAGTTCATCAGAGGCAAAGCCAGGACTAGATCCCAGCGCTCTGGACCTCTCCTCATAACCCAACACCTCCATGCCTAGTGCTGGGGATGCAGAGATGAAGCGGACCCCGGCCCCAGCTCAGGTCCTGCAGGGGGGGTGCAGGCGTCCAAGGGAAACACGGAGTTGCTCCTTGGGCCTCAGTTTCCTCATTTCCAGGATCTGGGCACTTTGTAGGCAGGGATCACTATCTGTCTCATTCATCAGTGGGTTCCCGGAGCCTAGCACAGTGCCTGGCACGTAGTAGGTGCTCAGTCTGTTCATGATGAATGAATCTGTAAAACGGGGGACGCTGTGAGGACTGAACGATGGAACTGAGGCAGGCCCTGGCTCACAGGATGCGGGAAGAGGCAGCTGTGGTTGTCACTGTCAGCCCTGCACCTGTCCTCCGAGCACATGGCACAGATGGCAGTAGAAAGGTGAGGTCAGCACAAGGTGGCCAGGTCCTGGGCCCAGAGGGGCTCCTCAGAGTTGCCTGGCAGCTGGGTCTCATCTACCTCAACTCACCTGTGCCACAAGCCTCCCTGCCCCAGGGCCTTTGCTCCTGCCATTTCCTCTGCTGGGGATGCCTCCCGTCCCCCCCTCACCAGAGCCACTCCTGCCTGACATTCCCACGGGCTCCATCGTCCCCTCCTCAGAGACGCCGTCCTGATATACCTGGCCTCCTGTCCGGGTGAGGTTTTACATGTGTTTGGGTCACCTGAGCCGCCCTGCCCAACTTCCGCCATCTGGTTCCTCAGCCCGGGGGCCCATATGCTCAGTAAATACCTCAGAACACTCCCTCGGGGGCTGTGCGACCTCACAGAGTCGGAGGGGCCGTGGGAGGGGCCACGGGAGGGCTGTTCCCCACCCCGGCCCTCATCCAAGAGCAGCAGGGCCATGGGGGACCCCAGAAGGGCCCTGTCAGGAGCTAGCCCGCCAGAGCCTGCCTCCTGCCCCCTAGGGACCCCAGCAGAGGGGGGTCCTGGCCTGCACCCTCAGGAGGGGGTGTGGGGTGGGGTGGGGTGTGGCAGGGCCCATGGCAGGTGACAATTAAAAATAAAGCTCCTCTCTGCTGGGGGGAGGGCAGAGCGGGGGCGGGTCAGAGCACGACAGGATGTGAGGGAGCAGGGACTGTGGCCGTGTCACCTCAGCACTGAGTCCTACACCCTGCGGCGGGAGGGCGGGCATGAATGGGTGAATGCTGCCAGGCCCACACACGGAGCCTGAGGCCGTGCTTCCGCCAGCCCAGCTGGGGCTCTCTCACTGTCCCCGCAGGAGCCCGGCCTCCAGGCCTGTCCCCTGCAGCCCCGACATGCTGCTCCACGCAGGGACGCTGGGTGGCAAGGAGACCCAGCAAACACAGGCCAAGGATGGCATTACCATTCACAAGCGCCTCTCATTAGTTTTGAAAGAAACAGATTTCCAGACCAAATAAGGCGTGGACTTCAGAGCCGCTGCCCACTTCACACGATTCCTTTCAAGTGTCCAAACGCAATTACACTTGGAACTCGCCTGGATTCGGCCTCCCCCAGCCTCCCTCCTCCCCCTGGCCTCCCCATGTAAACAAGCCGCCCAGCTGGGCCCCAGCTGGCCTGCCCTGGAGAGGAGGGGAGGGTCACCAACCGCTGCCTGCTCCCTGCCCAGCCTCTCTCTCAGTCCTGGGAGTGGCCATGAGCTTCAGTATCCTACAGCCCTCCCCTCACACTCTCCCTAAAAACAAAGGCCCCAGAAGGCCAGCTGGACCCTGCGGGGAGCAAATCCTCTCTGAGATTTGCACTTGGGCAGGGACATCGGGTTCCTCCAGGGGCCAGAGGCCTGGAGCTCCTGGAGCAGGTGCAAGGGAAGCTCTATTTCTGGGTTCTCTTCCAGATGCCCACCCCACCCCCAATCTGGGCACCATTTGCTCCCATAGGGAAAGCACTGAGGGGAATTCCCTTGGGGTCCCCAGGCCATGAGAAAGTTGGCGCAGGTTGGGGGGGTTGGGGGGGGGCTTCCCGGGTGGCTCCCTGGGAAGCCACTCCTCACCACCCCCATCCTCACAGCCACCCCTGGGGCTCTTGCATCCCCTTTCAGGCTTTGGCTCACTGCCCCAGGACCCTGAGAAGGCTCACAGGGTAGGGGGGAAGCCTGACTCATCCCCCGCGGAGCAGGCATGCACAGCCCGCCAACCGCACACCCCCCAGGCAAGCGCTGTGATTTTCCACTTGCGCCATCTGATTGCTATTAGGGCCGGGGAAAGGGGGTTCCTGGTTCCATATGTCAGCAGGGGGCCCTGGGCAGATTCCAAGTGGGAAGGGGGATGGGGTGGCCCCTGGGTGGCACTGCTGTCCTGCTGCTCAGCCTACCTCTCAAAAGTGCCTGCAACTCCCCCCTCCATGGAGCCCTCACCTTGTCCTGGCTTCTCTGTAACAGCCCCTGAACACATTTCAACAACCGGGTGGGGACTTGCCCCTCCCCGGGCCTGCGTGCCCCGAAATGCCCAGTGGGAGCAGAAGGAAGGAACCAAGCAAGTGCACAGCCCAGTGCTTTCTCCAGGGCAGCCCCGAGTTGCTGCAGGATGGAGGGAGATTCACAGCTGGACTCCAGCAGCGGTGCTCTGGCCAACACGACGTCACCAGGCAGGGAGATGAGCTCCCAGTGAGGCTGGGGGGTGGGGTGGGGCGGGGGCTCCTGAGCGGGGCATTCCTTCCCGAAGCTTCATCCCAGCTCTGGCTCAGCCCCTCCTCCCCTCCTCCTCCCCTTCCCCCTCCCTCTGGGCCTGGAGTTGGGTTTGAGGCGGGTTCTGCTCCCCAAGCCATCTCCTCCGCAGGCAGGCAGGCAAGGGCTGTCCGAGGCTCTGAGCTCGCCTTTTCCGAGGCTCCAGGCGGTGCTCTGTGCTGGCCTGCTGCCCCGGGGATCCGCGGTCAGAGGCGGGTGTCGCGCTCCGCGAACAAGACCTCGGAAGGTCGGGACAGCTGCAGGTAGCTGCATGGGGGCCCTGGGGCCCAGGGGAGGGCGTTCTGGCAAGCAGGGCTGCAGGGAGAAGGCCAGGCAGGGGGAGGAGAACGAGGTGGGCGCTGTCAGGGCACTCGGCCCCCAGAAATCACGTGGCTCGGAGCAGGAACCCTGGGGCTCCAGAGAGGACTCGGGCACACTCCTGTGGCTCTGAGAGGCCCCGTCCTGGGTGGCAGGCCCTGCATTCTGGCAGTGCCTGACCCCCACACTGTCCTCTACGTCCAACTCCTGCTCTGGTCTCCTGGCAGGGGTGGGGGGGCTCCCCCTCTGTCCCTACCCCCACCCGTGCCAGCCATCCAAGTCAGCTTTCTGGAAGAGCGGAAGGTAACACCCAGCCGGCAGCGTCCCAAGTACGGAGAGATGGCTCCCAGGGTTCGCGGGCATGCCAGCGGCGTGGCCCACTTGTCTAGCTTGCAGTGGCGCTGAGCTCGGGCACGGGAGGAGAAGCAGCTGCATCCCACCCTGTCCCCCCGCAGACGGCCCCCGCTGTCCCCAGATTAGCCTCTTTCAGCCGAGCTGTGAGCAGGGGACCCGGGCCCTGGAACGGGAAATGCAGCCTCCCTCAGTGGGGGGCGGGCCGGTGACAGCTGGGAGGAGAGGGGCCAGGAAGACGGGTTGGGGGCTTGCAGTCTGTGCCCACCTGGGCCTCCTGGAGTACAGCCTCACCTGCCACCGGCAAGTGTGGGGCTGGGTTGTGGAAGGGTGGGGTGAAAGGAGAGGAGGCGGACAGGTGGCCAGAGCCCTTTGAGGCCTGGTGCTTCGAAGGGAGGGTCAGGAGTGCACGGAGCTGACAGCTTTTCTTTGGTCTGCTGCAGCAGAAGCCACATCCCAACCCGAGGAGTGCACACACTCACCCCTGCTCGCACACATGTCACACACGTGTCTTCTCAGGGCCCATCCGGGACTCCCTTGCCTTCTAGATCTCCGCATGCATGCAGGAGCCTTTCAGATTGCCCATGGCAAGGCAGGAGGAGAGCTCAGAGACACACTAGGGTCACCTACCCATGGAAGCAATCAGCAGAGGTGAGCTGGGGCCCTTACTTCGTGCCTGGCCCCAGCTGGCTGCCCTTGGGGGGCATCTGGGTATTGGGGGGGTCTAGCTTGGCTGAGGAGAAAGGGCAAGCCTCACAGTCAGGACATCCCCAAGAGTCCAGGCCTAGGGGTGGTGTGCAGCCAGGACCACCAAGTGGAGTGGGAACATTGTGAGTGGGGAGCAAAGGGGACCAGCAAGGATGGGAGAGAAGCCGGTAGCTGGCAGGCAGGGGAGAGCTTGGGCAAGCCCCAGCGAGCAGGTAAGGCCTGTCCGAGGCACTGGGGCCAGTGGCCCGGCTGGAGTCAAGATGATGGATGGAGGGGGTGTGGGGCTCTAGATACACACTTAGGGGCACCTGCTCTCTGCGTGCACACACGGCACGCACAGCGGACTCGCCCGCTTCCTCCAGAGCACAAGGGCCCCCACCCGAGGACAGCCACCTGGGGCCCAATGCTGCCCTGCTGTCACCGCATGCCGCGCTGGGACCCACACGCCAGGCACACACACACACTCGCACACACCACACTGCGCAAGCGTGGGCCCGAAGGACGCTCTGGGCAGCTGGGCCGGGAGGGGAGCAAGGCCGCGGCTGGCCACCCTTCCCCGCGTGCCTGCCTCGGTCCCGCCCCGGCTGGGGGTGCGGAGGGACACACGACCTCGGTGGGCCGGGAAGGAATTCTGGGGGAGGCCAGCCGTGTAGCCCAGCATTCCCTCCAGGAGGAGGGCAGGGCCAGCGGCCTGCGGCTCAGCCTCAGTTTCCCCGCCCACACAGTGGGAGGGCTAGGTGCTTGCCTGCTGGGGCAGGGCTCAGATTGGGGGACAGGAGTCCATTCCAAGGGGACCCAGGGCACGTGGACCAATGAGCTCTGCCTGGCCAGGATGGAGCTGTGTCCGTCAGGCAGGGATGCCCCCTCCCCGGGCCGTCACCCCTTCCAGGCCTCCTGACCCGGCTGAGTACAGCTTGCCCATCCTCCAGCCTGGAGCCGGGGCCGCCGCACCGCCCTCCTGGCCGGCTCCCTCCAGCTGCTTTTCCTCGGCAGCCCCTCTGGGCTCAATGATACGCAAATCTCCCAAACGGCAGTGGGCGCAGCTGTTACCGCAGGGGCCCCTGGGCAGATGGCCGCACCTCCCTGAGCCTTGAAGCCCCCGTCATAGGGGAATGATGATTCCTGCCTCATAGCCGGTAATGAGGACCGAGTGGGGCAATAGCCATTGGCTGGCTGGCACAGTGTCCAGCTCCTCGCTGGGAGTCATTGTCCCAGGGGTTGATGTGGTGTCAGTGATACCGACGGTGACCAGGCTGTCCCGCCTTGCAGTCACCTGTTGTGGTAAGACCCGACACCTTAGCGGGTTACAAGCACAGGGCCGGACCAAGCTGCTGCGTGTGATGAAGGGGTGAATGCAGAGCCCAGCCAGGAGGGGGCAGTGCGTCTGGACCCCGCAGGACAGTCCCTGTGCCCCGCTCAGCACAGCCCCGCCTCTGAGGGAGCCAGCTGCTTGCTTGCCTGCCTTTCCTCTAAGGGGACAGCTGTGGGGGCTAGGGGCAGGGATCTGGAAGGTGGAGGGGCCTTCTGGGCGGGTGGGGAACCCCTCTGCCCTGACGCGACCCTTTCTGCCTTTGCCAGGGGCCTGCCCGCGGTGAGCAGAGCCGGGAGGAATCTGGACTCGCCAGGCCTGGAGATGGCGGGGAACTGTTCCTGGGAGGCCCATCCTGGCAGCCGGAGCAAGGCAAGTGCCATCAGGCAGCAGAGGGGGCTCCGGGCACAGCAGGGCCGGGTGTGGTGGGAGAGGCAGGCTCAGCCCAGCATCTCCTCCCCCTGCACTCTGCCACCCATGCCCATCCTCCGTCTCAGGACTCATAGGTGGGCAGAAGACCCTCTGCGCTATGCGGCCTGGCACCGGTTCCAGGGCCCCCCCCCCCGGATCGCCAGTGTCCTCATCAGCCTCGAATCCTGCCCCCGTGCACACCCTGCGAGCTGTTAGCACCTTGAGCAGCCTCCTTCCGTCTCTCCCCTGCAGAGATGGGTGGTCAGCTATGTCCCACGGCCAGGCCCTGCCAGGAGGCCCTGATGTGGGCCCCAGGGAACACCGCCGCCTCTGGGCCTCCCCACTGCCCGTGACTACACTGTGCTGTGTAGTCACAGTTTATGTTCAGGCACCAGCTGTGGCCAAGACCCTGACAAGGCGTCCGGCCAACCCACCCCTTTTGCCCTTCTCAGCTCCCTACTTCTCTGAGCTCCTCGAAAATTCTGGAGTTCCCTTCTAAATCTCGGGCAAAACCCTCTCCAAGCTGGAAGGACCTTTTGAGTTTATCTAGTACAACCTCATCCACATTTGAGGAAACTGAGGCTCACGACAGCACGGTAACTAGACTGGCATGAGCCCAGAGGCGGGAAAAGAGCCTGGACTCTTGCCCGGGGCCTGCGGCCCTTGGCCTTCTCCCTCAGTGACCACTGTGGGCAGCAACCACGGGAGGCAGAGATGGGACCAGCTGGGGAGAAGTCTCCAGAAATCCCCAGAGAAAAGACAGAGCCCAGGGAGGGGGGCCAGGCTCCAGAGCAGGCATTTTACAAGGCGGTATGTGGCTAGGGACGGCAGCTACACGCCCCGTGACTCACCCGGCCCTCCCGCTCTGACTCCGAGGAGGGGATTGCAGACTTTTTCCAGCCTGTGAGGAGCTCTGAGTGATCCCTCGGCGTGGGCTTGTCTGGGCACTGGGTCTTGTGGACCGCTGCTCCGTGGCCTGGAGTGGTCAAAGCCACCAACAGGAAAGGCTGAGGAAAGAGCAAGCTAAGGGTTTTGGGGGTCGATAGACAGAGATGCTAAGCCAATAAATGTGCCTGGAAGATGATGGGTGATGAATAGGACCCCCCCAATGCGCTTGCCCTGACCTCACAGAGTCTCCCCAAAGTTTGGCCAATACCTCCAGTCTCTGCTTGCAGACTCCCTTGACAGAAGCCCCCCCCCCCGCCACCATTGTGGGGTATCTGGCAAAGCTGGGGGCCATCTGGAAGGTGGCGGAATGTTCCAGCCTCAAGAACCTTTCCGTTTGTTTTCTTTTGGGGAGAGTCATGAGCAATGGGAATCGATACCCAGCCTTACTTAAGCTGGGGGGGGGATCCTGGGGGGGGGTGTCAGGCTCAGGCTCTGTGGGAAGGAGTGCTGGGATGGACTAGTGATGTCTGCCAGGCTGAGGGAGGGGAGTGACAGTGTTCTGGGCAGCCTTGTTGCTTGGAATGGGAGGTCAAAATGACAGCCTGAGAATGAATCCAGCTCGTAGATGTGTTATGTTTGGCCCACACAATGTTTTTTAAATGCGAACATTTAAAGATCAGGGTAGTTCACATAACAATCTAGGGTTCTGGCTTCTCTGGGGAGGGGGGAAAAGGATGACGGGCCACTCAGCCCACGGTCCCGTTTCAACTGCCCACCCCCCCCCCCCCCCCCCCCCCCCCCCCCCCCCCCAGCAGCTGCCCACTTTACTCAGGATAGGTGCTCTCCAGTTTGCACCCTCACACCCCGTTTCTTGCACCTGGCCCACCTTCATGCATTTATCCCCAGCCCAGAATTTACAGGCAAGATACTCAGCCTGGTGCACTCGGTCAGCCAGATAGATTGTTCAAGTATCAGAGTGCTTCCCCAGAGCTGCCCCGAGTCTCCGCCTCCCCAGGGGGGCCCTGGGCCACATCCAGATCCCTCATGACCCAGAGACTCAGGGTCACCCTGGCCCTGCAAGGGACTGCCTCTGAGTCCCCAGGTCTCTCTGATCCCACTATGGGACAGCCTCCCACTCCAGTTAGGGCCAGGGCCCACTTTTTCCAATCAATGACTTTATTCTATTTTTTAAATAAATATTTTCATGTTTTGGTGTGAAAAATGGCAAATGCACAGAAACTTCACAAGGACAGCGCAGTGCAGATGTGCGTGTCCTTCACCAGCTGGCAGGCTTTGCTCCCTGGGCTCTCTCTATGCGTCTCATGATAGACTCTTTCCCGGAACCGTTGGAAAGTAAACTGCAGACACCAAGCCCTTTTGCCCCCAAATAGCCTGGGCCCTCTAAGAACAAGGACTTCCAGTGCAGGGCAGCAGCGCATCTTTCTACTCAGAAAATCTAACGTTGGTGCAGTACGGGGATACCCAGTCCGGATGCACATTTCCCCCACCACCCCACTAATATCCTTCACAGCAACCCTTAGGGCAACTCTAAAATCTAGGATTCAGCCTCGCATTTATTGGCCACGGCTCTCCATTCTCCTTCAATCTGGAAAGGTTTCTCTGTTGTTCCGTATCGTTCAGGACACGGACACCTTTTGACCAGAGTCTGTTCTGACAGGTGGGCAGTCCCGGGCCTTTATCAGGGACTGTTTTCGCAGTCACTCCTCTAGGCCGCTAGCTGCAGACGCGGGGACACAGAGTCGTGGCACTATGTGGGAGCAAGGGTGTCTTCTGCTCTAGTTACAGCCAGTTCATTGTTCCAGAGCGAGGGACTCTACCAGCCTGTGATCAGCCTGGACAAGGGTGCAGGTTTGGGGGTGGGGCCCAGCCCGCATCATGAGTGTCTCCCCTCTGCACCTGCACAGATGTGTCCCGACGTGAGTGAGGCCCCCGAGCTCTACAGCCGTGGCTTCCTGACCATTGAGCAGATCACCATGCTGCCACCGCCCGCCGTCATGAACTACATCTTCCTGCTCCTCTGTCTGTGCGGCCTGGTGGGCAACGGGCTGGTCCTCTGGTTTTTCGGCTTCTCCATCAAGAGGAGCCCCTTCTCTGTCTACTTCCTGCACCTGGCCGGCGCCGACATCGGCTACCTCTTCAGCAAGGCTGTGTTCTCCATCCTGAACACGGGTGGCTTCCTGGGCACATTCGCTGACTACGTCCGCGCCGTGTCCAGGATCGTGGGACTCTGCACGTTTGTTGCCGGCGTGAGCCTCCTGCCCGCCGTCAGCTCGGAGCGCTGCCTGTCGGTCATCTGCCCCGTCTGGTACTGGCGCCGTCGGCCCAAGCGCCTGTCGGCTGTGGTGTGCGCCCTGCTCTGGACCTTGTCGCTCCTGGTCACCAGCATCCACAACTACTTCTGTGTATTCCTGGCCCACCGGGCCTCTGGCGGGGCCTGCAGGCCCATGGACGCCTTCCTGGGCATCCTGCTTTTCCTTATCTTCTGCCCACTCATGGTGCTGCCCTGCCTGGTGCTCATCCTGCACGTGGAATGCCGGGCCCGGCGGCGCCAGCGCTCTGCCAAGCTCAACCACGTCATCCTGGCCATGGTCTCTGTTTTCCTCGTGTCCTCCATCTACTTAGGGATCGACTGGTTCCTCTTTTGGGTCTTCCAGATCCCAGCCCCCTTCCCTGAGTACGTCACCGACCTATGCATCTGCATCCACAGCAGCGCCAAGCCCGTCGTCTACTTCCTGGCCGGAAGGGACAAGTCACAGCGGCTGTGGGAGCCTCTCAGGGTGGTCTTCCAGCGGGCCCTGCGAGACGGTGCCGAGCTGGGGGAGGCCGGGAGCGGCACACCCAACACGGTCACCATGGAGATGCAGTGCCCCTCGGGGAACGCCTCCTGAGTGGCCAGCACCTGGAGGGTGGCAGGGGCCGTGGCCTCCAGAGACCCTCTGCTGCTGGACAGGAGCTGGGCAGCTGCCCCGGTGCCCAAGTGCAAGGAGGAAAGTCTGCTTCCCGCCCCTCACGCCTCCTTCTCCGCGGGCTGGAGGCTCTAGGAGTGGCCGGCCGGGAGACGGAGCAGCCACCTACACACAGGCCCCCTGGCCCGGCCAGGCTCCCCCAGCCATTCTCCTCTGTGGCCAGAGGTCCATGGTTCGGAAGTGGCCCCAGGGGGTGGGGTTCCTCCTCCTCCCAGGCTGGTCAAAAGGAGAGGAGGGAGGGATCACCCAACCCCGTCCATCTCCTGCCCCTTTCAATCAGCCCTCCTTGAAAATGACGCAGCCAGCACCACCGCCCCTTGGGGCAGCAGCTTCACCCCCATCAGGGTACCTGTTCTCTCCGTTCCACCCCCTCGAGGCAGTATTGGCGAGCCAACCTGAACACATCGGTGCTATCTGGAAGAGGGTTCTGGCTAACCTGCCTTGTTGTTCCGTCTTTCTGCACCCAACGTCCCTGCCCAAATCCTTTGGTGATTTTAACGGGGGAGTTTACGGTCATGGCAAGCAGCTGGACAGGAAGGGGCCTCGGCCAGCTGGAGCGGGTCACTCTCTTCTGACTCCATGCCGGCCAGCCCCTGGGCAGCCTCCCGGAGCACAGAGTGTGCTCGCGCTGCTGTGCGCCTGGTCCTCGAAACTTGGCCCACTGTCCAGGAGTCTCTGGGCTCCAGCCCCCACCTGAGAGTGGGCATGGCTCTACCGGGCCACCCCAGCCCACCTCCAAGCACAGTGGCCCCGTGTAGCCAATGCAAGTTTTATGAAAGACAATAAATGTGTATCAATAAACGTTTTATATCGTGCACTGAGCAAGGCTTCCTGCCTTCTGTCCTGTCTGCACCTGCTCCACAGTGAGGCGCCCTGCAGCGACGAGCAGCCCAGATGGCAGGCTTTCCATGCTATGCCCCACCCACCCAATCTGCTCTGTACCCCAGCATTTGTGATCCTCTCCTGGCTGATCCTGGCTGATCCATCTACACCTCTGGGGTGCTCCCTCTCCCGGCTGGTCCGTCTATACCTCTGCAGTGTTCCCTCACCTCATAGGGTATCCACCCCTCCGCCTCATGGAGCTCTGGTCAGCCACGTTGTCCCGTTGGATAAGCCTATGCCCTTTCTCACCCATTCAGGGCCCCCAGCTCCCCTTGGAAACAGTTTTCATCATGCCTACTAAGAGCCAGGCCTTATGCTGGTTAATACAGGTCCTGCTGTAAGGAACACAGTGTGTCCACACAGAGGCCCCCTGGGTGGGACTGCTGCTTCTCCTACTGCTACCTGTCCAGGATGCCCCTCTCTGAGGCAGGGGCAGGGGCTGGCTTCCCTAAGCCTGGCACCTCCCCATTGCCCAGCAATAGGCTGGAGCCCCTCTGGAGACAGCTCAACTAGGGCCGGGCCAGAGGCTCCCTGACTGCCCCCCTGCCTCCAGCCAGTCCCTGAAGAGGCCCGTCTTGGGCTCCAGGTATCCGGCCTGGGATCCCAGCCCCGCTGCGGGGAAGCTCTGGGGGAGCCTGCTCACTACATGGGCCCAAGGAGAGAACAGGGCAGAGGCACCCGTGGCCCAGGCAGGGAGCAGGCCCCTGTCTGCAGAAAGCAGTGAGAGGGGAGGGAGAGGGCTGGGAGTGGGCAGGTGGCTAACGGAACCAACTGCTAGCCCATCCAGGGAGCGGCGGTACCTCCAGGCTCTCCTGCTGGCCCGCCTGGCAGCTGGCACTCCACCCACAGACCCTGGACTTGCTCTGCCTTACCCCGGCCATCCCAGAGCAAGGGCTGCAGGACCAGCCTGGTGTGGGCTGCCCCCCGGTGCATTTCTTGGTGACCAGTCCCCCAGGTGGCCGGACTAGTCCCTCCTGGCCTCCCCAGGCCTCTGCTCCTGTCCTCCCCTTTTCAACAGTCCCAGCTGCTCCTCCATCAAGGTCACTGCTCTGCAGAGAGGACCCCAGGTGTCTGGAGGCAGAGGAGTTTCAGATGGCGGAGGTCAGTGCGCCTGCCTCTCCCACTCCCAGCCCTGGGGTGCACCCTCCCCGTTCTCCCACACTCCACCCCCCCCCCGGCCCCCCCCCCCCCCCCCCCCAAGCCAGCCCAAGAATCACGGAAAAGCAGATTTGGAAGCCTCATCTCCGACACTTCTGGGGACTCAAGAGAAACCAGGTTGGGTCCTGAGGACACATGTGAAGGGCGGGACCCGTTTGACCCGTTCACGGGAAAAGCTTCTACCAGCAGGCCTCCATTGCAATAGAAATGCCTCCCAGTCCTGAAGGGGGACGAAGGAGCCAAGGGGGCCTCTGGGGAACCTACGCCTCGGGACCCAGTGAATCCTAGTGTCTGGGGGTTCCTCTTCCTCAGGAGCTCCCACCCCACGCCTCTAGCCCTGAACCACTGTCAGGAGCTACCCACCCACCACCCCCAGAAGCCTGAAGGGTACTCCCTACCTGGGTCCAGCTGCAGCAGCTCAGACCCCCAGCCCAGTGCGGGGGGGGGGGGCAGGCAGCCCTCACTCACTGCAGGGCCTGGAGGTCAGGAAAGGGCTGGGCCCCCATATGAACACGCATCTGCCCATGCTTAGTGGGCAGGAGGCCTGGGAGGGTGGGGGGTGAACTCCAGGATCAGCCCTGTCAAGCCTCTGGACCCTTCTCAGATGTGGATCCCTACAGTCTTTCTTGGGAGCAAGGCTTCTCCTCCCCATCCAGTCCCCACCCACATGGGGACAGCCTGCACATCCTGTCCACACCCCAGACCAAACCCTATTTGTGCTAATGGAGGAGCAGGAGCAGAAGGGAAGGGCACTTTCTCCTCCCTCCTTGGGTACTGAGTTATTAAAGGGCCCAGGGAGCAGGCTGCAGGGGCAGGCAGAGGTGCCTCTGCTGTCCCCCACCAAAGGCAGCTCAGCTGGGCCCACCCCCAGCCTCCTTCTTTCTGGGTGTCTGGGAAAGGCAGGAAGCAGAGGGCCCTGAGCATCACAGATATCCACCCTGGAACTCTCTGGAGCAAGGGGTCTGGCTGCCCTCCCCTGACCACTGCAGGTCAGCCAAATTCAGGCGGTGGGTATCGCCATCCCTACCAAGCTCCTAGGTGGCCACACAAGGAAGAAACACTTGTCTCCCTGCCGCTCCAGCTGTTACTAAGCACAACTTGCTACCACCACCGGATATGCCGGCCAGGGAGGGCACAGCGGCCAGGGTTGGGCTGCCGGGCCCGGCTTTCTGTGGCTCCCACCATGACTGTCTGGACAAGCACACTCCTGGATGATGCACGGCGTAAACAGGGTCAAATGTGGAAAGCCAAGAGCAAGCCTCAGGGAGAAGGGGGCTGCCACCCACAAGCTGTGGGCCTGGGTTTTCTCATAGACCCACACAGGCCTCAGGAGCTGTCCTAAATCCCTGGTCAGGCACAGGCCAGGGGCTAGGTGGCCGAGAGGGAGCAGGTGGCCAGGAAGGAGGGACGAGGAGAGAACCAATCCCAAGCCCTGGGGACTTGGGCACGGAGTGCCATTTGCAGAGGACCTACTGCGTGCAGTGGGCCCTGGGCTAAAAGCTCCACCTGCAAAGCTCATTTAATCTGCACAGCTGGGCTCCCAGGGACAGCCTGGTCACCCCCAGTGTGGAGCCCCAGTCACAGTCCAAACGTTCTGGTGGCCGCCTGCTTGCCTTGGAACCCAGGCCGCTGGTCTTTGTGTTCCCACCAGCAAAGCACCGGCAGTTGGGGCCCCAGGGATGCCACGTGGAGCAGACAGCACAGGCCCATCACAGCCCAAGGACAACCCAGACTGGCCTCGTAGGAGCCCACAGTCCCCACGTGAGACCAAAGAGGGGACAGCCTAGGCTCAGGCTGCCGGCGGCTGAAGCGGGCAGGGACGGGCAGGAGACGCGTGTTAGGCAGACAGCACAGCGCACAGCCTGAGAGCTGAGGCGTCTCCCTGTCTTCATGTCCCGGCTCAGTAAGAGCAAACAGAATGCTTCTCTGGCATCGGCCTCACTTTCTCCAATCCCCTGCCAACTGTGGTTGTGAGATAATTGAGTTTTCTATTTGGGGCCAGAATTCTGAAGCCTGAGATCCTTTCACACATGCACTTCTTGGTCTAGAACCCTCCATCAAGACCGCTCCGTCTTTCCCAGGAGCCACAGAATCCATCTAGAAGGTGGGATGAAGGGATGGGTCCATTTACCGTCCAGCCTCTCCCCAGAACGGAAGAAGCCCAGCCCAAGGAAATGTGCCCTTAAACACGCTGGTGACAAGACCAGGGAGCTACGAAGACATTGCAGAGATCACCCCGCCAAACCCCGAATCGGGCAACTCCGAATGCAAGCACAGAACTCGTGTATCTGAAGCCAGTGGAGGCTGGAGACAACAGGGCACAGTACACGGAATGAAAACTCATGGAAAAGTTGGCTCCAGTGAGTCAGAAATGCCGGCGTCAAGTTTCCTGGCAATTCGGGAGAAGACTCACCTACTCGGGCAGATTTTCTAAAAAAAAAAAAAAAAATTGTGATTAATTGTAGTCTAATTTACATACAATACAAACAACCGGTTTCAGGTATAGGCGAGGATCTTTGACACAGGTAGGTATGCTCGCGACCTCACCAAATCAGTATGTGGAATGCTTGCATCCTCCCCCAAAGGACGTTTCCGTCACCCCCCCACTCCCCGCAAGAATTTCCTAGTGCCGCAGAGCACCCAGCCCCCCAGCCCCGCCCTGCCGCCAGCCTGGGGCGACCACTCCTCTCTTGCTTTAGGCCACTCTGGGTTCCACAGGACACACTGCTTCCTGGGCAGATGTGTACAGCTTGTCAGCCAGGACTCTCGGCGGCGAGTACCAGAAACCCAGTCTGACGTAGCCTGGGGTGCGGGTGGGGACGGGGTGGGTGTCCCAGGAAGTTTACTGATTCCCCTCCCAGGGAAGCTCCACAAGCCACTTCCACCACACGCACTTCTTTCCCACGGACGATTCTCAATGCTCCTACCCGAATGAGTACTTGTACTACGCACTCTCCTTCCCCCCCCAGAAGAGAGAGGATCCAAACTCCATTCCAGGGACTGCCTCCCAGCCCTGAGCCCAAGACCCGTGGGCTGTTCGCATCTCCGTCCCACGGACCCAGAGATACGTCCTCCAGGGCCGGTTTCCCGTGACCGAGGGCTGCCGCTGTCAAGAGTGGAATGCCCGTGCTTCTTTAATAATCCCATCTGGGGTTAGGAAAGGACGCCAGGCGCACAGGCGCGGCCCACAGCATATTCCGTGCTGCAAGGGAAGCGGTGAGGACCGGCCGTGCAGGGAGGCCGTGGCTCCGCCAGTCGGCACGGCCGCCGGAATCCAAGATGCTGCCGCGTCATCCGCCTCCCGGCGCTCACAGCCTCCGACCTAGTCCCGGACGGCGAGGCTGGGCTGGACCGGGAGACGGGCTTCCAACCAACAGAGCGGAGCAGAAGGCATGAGGCTACACGAGGCTGTGGCTTCCATCCGTCGAGCCCTCTGTCCCCCTCGCGGGCTTTCAGGAAGCCAGCTGCCCCGCTGTGAGAGCCCACACCAGAGATGCCCCCAGGGCAAGGCGCGGAGGGCAGCTTCCGGCCGGCAGCCCGCAGGGAGCTGAGCCCTCGGTCCCGCGGCCGGTGAGCGGCCTCATCCCGTCACCGCCCCCGCGCGCCTTGGGACCCGAGGTGCCTCCTGACGCACCCCAGTGGGGTCTGACGGTCCTCCCCGTGTCACCACCAGGACCCAGCCAAGCGGACGTGCGCGGGCAGCGTTTGCTCCACGCCCCTCCCGGGTACCACCCAGCTTCCCCTCCGCTTAGGATCCTGGG